GCAACAAATCTAGCAACATTTTCTTGTCTGATTGAAGACTTTGTTGTCGACACATAGAACTCAGATTGTTTACTGTCTTCAGCAAACAGTGAGTGAGCCCCTCCCTCCTCCAAAACATAGGGACGCTGTGTAGCTTCCACTGATCCCCTTGCATTAGCAATCAGAATGTAAAAATAATATTTAGCATGTTGCTGTGAAATAGAATAACGTATGGGTGTGGTTTCAGCAGTCTAAGTGGACACAGCCTCAGAAAACATTTTGTTTTTCATTATTTTTGGAAACTAATATTATATATATATATATTCTTTTGTGTTTTTAATCATCCTGTTACGGCCCCAAGGTCTAGGGGTCTTGGGGAGGCAACATAAATAATGTGTCTGGAGTAGTTTGGGGGAAGGTAAAAATTATTAATTACAAAAGATGGTTAAACAGCCCCAAAACACAATATAGCTTAACCCAGTTGAAACAAAACAACAAAAAACGATAAGGGCAAACAAATTCAAGAATGGTTAAGAGCAAATAAAATTCCAAACTACCGAAAACCAGTCAGACTAAGTTTTAACACAAAAACAAACCAAATGAAAAGACAAAGGGAGCACCAAACCTCCCAAACACAAGCTACTAGCTTGAACAAGTCCACCTAAAGCAGACTAAGAAAAGTACATACAAGCCAGGGCAAAGAGCTCTATCTTCCCAAAAATAGATAGAAAACAAGATGGGGGAACAGCTTATCAAAACCTTCCTACTAGCTGTCCCCAAACTGAAAGCTTTTCAGGAGCGTTTTATAAGGTGCAGGTGGGCCTCATCAGCACCCTGATTGGCTTGACACTCTTCTGCTGGTCCAATCATGTCACTGCTCATCTGCAGTCCTCAGGCAGCCAACAAGGGAGTTCTGTCAGAGCTGAACCTGTATAAGAAAAAGCCTGCACAGTCTTACAAGGCCAGGGGCTGTAACACATCCCAATTCAGATAGGTAACTAATAAAACATATTTTGGTGGTGTGAAAAACGAAGTGTTACAACTCAGAACAGAAGACCCAGTATTCAAGCAAAACACACAAGCTCTTATTAAATAAATAGGCTGCGGATTTGCAGTAGCAGTGGCTGCGGCATCTGAGGCAAGAAACTCTGGAGGATGACAGACGGAGGATGATATGAACACGTAAGTCACTAACCTGGTTTATAGTACAGTCTGTGCCAAGAAAACCAGGGCAATTCCAGCCGCTCGGCAGACAAGGTGCAGCAGTTTGCCGCACAGAGAGTTCCAGATGCCGAAGCCTTGAGTATTACAGAACTGACAGGAAATCAGATCCAAGCAGACGATGGAAGGCAGAATAACCCAGGAGGCAGATGGAGGAACAGTCCAAAAGTAGAATCCAGTAAGAATCCGAAGGCAGGTCAGGCAAACAGATCAGAACAGGAACAGGCAGGCTCAGAGGTCGAGAGCAGAACAGATCAAGGTCGGGTAATCAGAATACAGGTCCGCTAGATTAATTCTCACACCAAAGGCTTAAAATAATTTATGCCCTGATGACTGGGAGCAAACAACTTAAATAGAGGCAGGTGGATCAGTTGAGCAGAAATGAGANCCTATTCAGATAATCCAGAAGGCGAAGTCAGGAGGCAGATGGAGGAACAGTCCAAAAGTAGAATCCAGTAAGAATCCGAAGGCAGGTCAGGCAAACAGATCAGAACAGGAACAGGCAGGCTCAGAGGTCGAGAGGTAGAACAGATCAAGATCAGGTAATCAGAATACAGGTACGCTTGACTGATTCTCACACCAAAGGCTCAAAATGAATTAGGCACTGATGACTGGGAGCAAACAACTTAAATAGAGGCAGGTGGATCAGTTGAGCAGAAATGAGAAACTGGGCAGAGTTAAACAGGTGAATTAAATGACTAATTAAGCTAGTCATCAGCACCAAGATGAGGATAATAAGAACATTGCTATTTCTACTTTATGCAGTCTTTAATAGCAACCACTTTTAATCTGGATTTGGATTTCATGTGTTACGCTTTAGTTTTACAAATTATTTCCATCAAATGTGTTCAGGAAAAGGAGGGTCATTTAAGTGAGCTGATTGGACAAAGTGTCCATCTACCAAACTTGGATTTAGGCAGTCGCGTTAACAAATGATATTGGCCTGAAAACCAGAAATTACACTTTAATGCTCTTGCTGTTCCTCTTTCAAAGATGAAATCTAGAATAATGTCTGAACAGATGTGATAGCAGCAGCTACGCGTGTGTCCTCCTCCCCTGCCATGGTTGTTTTGGTTTGGCTGTCTGCTCTAATATCAGATTCAGAAAACACAGAAGACTTTTTAATCCTGTGGAAAAAAAAATCACACAGTGTTGCTTTAAAGAGAAAAAAGAATATGCAAAAAGATCAGCATCAGCTGATCAAAGTGTCAAATAGATTCAAAATTGTCCCAAATAATCAAAAATTGCTGGATATTTATAGAAAATTATGAAGAATCATTGAATAAAAATCAGTTATTTGCAGTGTTGGCTTTAAGAAAAAAAAAACAAAAGAATGTTTTATTGACCCTCCAACCTCTTTACATTGAATAGTTTTGCATTGTTACTTTTGCTTAAAGATGGAAGTAATTTGCTTCCTTTTTCTCCTTGTCTTTGCAGGCTGAAATTTGTCTTCGGCTCATGTGCCTTGCAGGCTTTGGACCTGGTTGACCAGCGCTCTGTCACCTGCCTGTCTTCTCCCAGCGGCCGCAAAGCCTTTCAGGTCGGGTTTGTAGTTCTCTTCAATGCACGATTTTCACTACTCAACGGAACACATTAGTAATAATACTAGTTATTTTATGTTAAAAGAACCATTTAAAATCGAATTAAAAAACAAAGAACCATGAATTAACACAAGCATAGAAATGTAAGACTTTAACATTTCCCTATGACAACAGCACAATGACAGCTAGATTGATTTGGTTCTTCACTCAGTAGTATATTACAAAACTGTCTACTTTGATTCATGGTTCTGCAGACATATTGTTCTCCTTGGGAGACTCTAGCAGCGATGTGTTGAGACATGCAAGCCCAAAGAGGAGAGCAGCTTCATTTTGTTTAGTCAATAAAACCAACATAGAGTGTGTCTTATACAGAAAGAGGACAGAGCTGTATAATACAGTTCCTTTGATCTTTATATTGATTTTTTATGTTGATGTTATTAATATTAGTTCCTTCATGAATGAAAAAGAGTGAAGCTATAGCTTTTAAATCTGGTGGTCCCAAAAACATCCCCACCTTTGTTTTTTTTGTTTTTGTTTTTTAACTCTATTTAAAAAAATCTGCCTTCACGAATTTAGTAGTGAGTATTGGCATGGGTGTTGCCATACGGTACGTGTCACAATACTTGGGTTACAATATGATATTATTGCAATATCGCTGTATATTTTGATATTTTTCCCTGTTGTCAAAATTGTATTTATAGATAATAAAGCGAGTGCTGTATATGTTCATCAGAAGATATTTATCATTTCCTTTTTTTGTATTCATGTTGTTTGGGGTTTGAGTCAGTCAACGTCTTCCATTTTCACTGCATCAACTACAGATATGATGCTGCGCTTCACAGCAAAAAGACTCCACAGCACTATCTGCCAGAATGGTGGGGCAGAGGTGGCCCATTCTCACTCATTGTTTTAGGTAGTGTTGCACCGATACCGATACCAGTATCAGGCAGAGCCCCAATCCAGCACTAAAATTGTGGTATCGGTATCAGCGAGTACCAACAAATAGGGCACCGATACCATTTTGAGAGCTAAAATTCAATTCAACTATTGTCACCCATTCCAGGTAGGAAATAAAAGGTTTTACTGGATTCACTTTGTATTAGTCTATTTCCTGCTTCACAATTATTTTACATCCAAGTAGTATGTAGTTCTTCATATATACACACACATCAATTTTAAACAGATGGTATCGGTATCGTCCGATACTGCACAGCCAGGTATCGGTATCTGGACCAAAAACGGCATTGGCGCAACACTAGTTTTATGTAAAACTCTTTTTTGTTTAAAAAAAAAGAAATCCTTACTAGATTCTGAAAGATCGATATTATATCAATCAGCCAAAAATCATGATATATCACCACAACGATTTTTTCTCCACATCACTAAGATTTAGGATTGAAAATAGATATTTGACGACCATGTCAACAGGCTGGTCAGGTTGTCTTTCTTTCAGCTGAGGAGACTGTGGAAAGTCAAACTATTTCTTTTTAGAAACAGCGATCCTTTGCTTTTTTCTGGTCTGAGTTAATCAGGCCGCGCTGTCACGATTATCGCCGGTTCAAAATGCTGCTGCATGATCTTTTAACAGGTGAACAGAGCACATAACTCCCCTCACTGGTTTCCTATTCAGTTTTTAATCCATTTTTTGTTTGTTTTTTAAGTCTTTGGGTGATCTTAGCCCTTTTTAATTAGTGGGAAGTATTGCATCTTTATATGCCACCTCTTAGATCATCTGACCAGATGCTTTTAGCAGACCTAAATACCTTTTATAAATCCTGAGGAGACAGAGCCTTTGCAGCTCTGGCTCCTAAATTGTAGAATGAAATGCTGCTGAGGGTCAGACCAGCACATTCTCTTTCTGTTTTTTAAACTTTAAAAATCTCAAGTGTAAGCTAATATCTCTTTTTTAATGTTGCACTCATTTTCTTTGTATTGGTGATGTTTGGATTTTTAATTTTCATTATTCTTTTTATTGTTCTTTGTTTTTCTTAATATTTATACAGCTTCTACAGAAACAAATGTGTTATGTGTTGATGAAAACTTTGCTGTATTGTTTTTAGATTTAAATTTGATCAACTGAATTTAGTGAAATCTAGTTGTGAGGAGGGATGAAAATGATAAATGGTTTCAAAACATTTAAAAGAGAAAGAAACTGCAAAATATTTTTTTTTTTTTTTAACTGTCTCAGCCTCCAGTTTATAATATTAGCTGTAAAACCAGCTGTAGGTTTGCAAATATACAGGCTGAGTTTATCTGTCAGTCTTCTGTGCAGAAAAGAGGGAGGTTCGGACTTTGACTGGGCCAATTTAAACTGAAATATACTTTCATCTAAGCAGTTTTTATTGTAGCTCTGGTTATAAGTTTAGGATTATTGTTCTGCTGGAAATTGTTTCTTCCCTCTAACCTTTCCATCCTCTCAGGATGCTGATGAAGGAAGGTTTTCCCCCACCATGATGGAGCCTCCCCTGTGTTTCATAGTAGAGGTGCTGGGTTCAGGGTGACAGTTGCGGATTTAAGAGGTTTGAGGCCCAAGGTGAAGGCAGACATGGGGCCCTCTGAAATTAGAAGACTAAACACAAAACAGCAGGTCAAATATAGAGATACAGAGATTTTAACAGGACATACTTGCATTTATTGATTTACTGTTTATTCCATTTCCACCGTCTTCCTCTCCCTTCTTTTTCTTTCCTGTGTTTCTAGTGTTTTTTTTTTTAGTATTTCTTTACCTTTCACTCTTTTCTTCTCCTTCTCTTCCTCTTAAAAGTTTTCCATTGTCTTTGTATTTTCTTCCTTTTGTTCCTAAAATCTTGTATGTGAGTTTTGGCGTCTTGTAATGAGGTGATTGATACCTCCTGACCTAAGAACCCCCAAAGCCTGAAGCCTTCCTTCAATTTCAACAAGACCACAACCATGCCAAACAGAACATCTGGATTTATACAGATGATACATAACATAAAGGTGGAATCTGTTTATTACGGGAGTTTTAATGGGAGTTGATGGCTCTGGGTTTTATTTAGCGGTATCAGAGAAAAAGTCTATATATGCGAATTTATTTAATTTCTCTTCCACTTCGTGTCAGTCTGTCATCTTACATCCTATTGAAATTCATTGAAGTTTATTGTAGTAAAGTGAAAAAATTTTGGGGGAAAAAAAGTGAAAACTTGTATAATTCTATAGAAATATTAGCTGAATGAATGTAAATGAATCAATCAGGCTTGATGCAGTTATTTACGTATCAAGCAATTATTAATTTTACTCATCAAAAAAAATTAAGTGCAGCTGTATTTTTGCATTGTTCTGGCCCATCTTTTAAAAAACTCATGTTGCCGATTTTTGCGGAGCCAGATTTCTTTAATGAACAGCGCTGACAGGTGACATAAGATCCTAATATGTCCTTAAGGTTCTCCTCTTAATTTATGTAAATATGAAACAGTTCTAGTTAAACAAGACAAGCTAGTTTTAATTGCACACTAAGAGGAGTGTCATCAAAGCTTAAAGCATAGACTGCGGCTGATTCTCAGACCTTTCCTTATGTAGATTAAATTGACTTATCCGACTGTTGGTTGATCAACCAAAATTAAAGAAATCAGGCTGATCAATTATCTGTCTAGCAGGTTAGGCGATCTGATTTTTGCTAACTTCAAATAATGAGCTTTATCTCCTCCTAGAGTCGTTTGAACCCAGAGTCAGCAGCACCTCCAGGTCTGAGTCTTCGGTTTTCATAGCATAAAGAAAGATGGACAGCTTAGCATCTGGGATCCATCTCTGGACGTCCTGAGGGACTTCAAGTGTCTTTGTTTCTGGATAACTAGTGGTGATGTAAAGGAGAGTGAGATGGATGGGTCGATGGCGTTGTAGCGTAGCAGCTTTCTAAGTAAACATATAATGAATTCCAGCTGTTCTCCTATCAGACATTCATCCAATAAACGATTGTTTTTAACCATCAAGAGTAAAGCTTCAGTTAATGGTTATGAAAAGTGCTTTATTCAAGCTCTGTTGGATGTTTTTAATTAAATAGGTGTTGTGTTGATTAGTATGGTTAGAATAAATATAAAGAAAATAATAGCTATGGAAAAGATGTTTTGTTCTATTTAGAAAATAAACTAGAAACTTGTGTTAAAGAACTTGTTTTAATGATGAAAACCTGAACAAATTAATGACTCACTTCCGACATTAATTACTGTGGCACTTTACAGCAATATAAATGCTAAACAGTCTGTTTCTCAGCCAGAACAAAGAAAAAGAAAACAATGAAACCCTGAAGCCCATGCTGCTCATTTTTATAAGTACCTGTGACGATTATGAGACAGATATACAATTTAAGCTGCATTTAGAATAAATTATTGTATAAACTAAAAAAAAAATGAATTAAGTTAGACTTTTGAAATTAATTTTCCCAATCTCTATAATTTAGCTCACAGAATTGAAATAGTGACATCCTTAAATCATCTTGTTCTGGGTTAGAATGGAAAAGTATGTTAAATATAAGAAAGACATTTGTTTACAGTTTTTTTTTTTATTTATCTATTAGTTAAATCTTACTATTTTTTTTTCATATTGTACTTTTAACAGAAAGTTGTGAATAATTATTAAAGTTAGTCATGATGGTTTTATAGCTGTGAGTAAACACATCAGATATGAACACTCTAGAGAATGTAAATAGAAAAATAAAATAAAGTTGAGTCTGATTTGTTTGTGAATTTGAAATTTTTTATTTTGTCCTGTTAAATAAAAGAGTGAAAAAGTCTCGGATAAATTTTGAATTTATATAAAAATAATTCACACAGTTCTAAACAAATTATCCAGTTTAAAGCAAGAAGAGACAGGTGGGATATTAACACTTCTTCTAAATCCCACATTTCAACTGCATTTCTCTGAAAAAGGAAAAAAAAATTCTCCATCCTCTGAGTCTTGTCTGTCAGCAGGGCGTAGATTGCTTGTGGTGGGAGAATCGATGCCATCCATTACCTTTATGGTCGTTGTGCCCCAGATTTCCTGT